AAGTCATGGGGTTGGTGGAATCTGCAATGGAGGAGGAGGAGCCACTGCACTTGTCGTTAAACTCATGTAAGCCCTCTAAATTCTGCCGCATGTATTACCCAAAGCGCAATTTCCATATTTGCATTCCATAACCTGTGATAACTCATTTTTTGCAGGCCAACTGCAAGAGTGTGATGTTCCAAGTTATAAAGTTGAAGTGTAGCAGGAAGACACTTTGCTGACTGTATTGTTCTTACTCCTTGATAGTGTAGCAGTTCCTTCTTTCATGCAAAAGCGAAGTGTATAAAGAGACTTGGCTTCATCTCCTATATGCCCAAGGTGCGAATCTTATGATGAAACTCCCATTCAACTGCTAAGGGATTGCTATTATGCCAAACTCATTTGGAGCTCATTGGGTTTTGCAAGTTCTGAATTTTTTACACTCCCTTTCTTCTCTTGGCTTAAGAAATTCTCCATGGCACCGCAAACTTGTGCTCAATCACGAGTCTTTAGACCAGAACTTTTTCTTTCTGCTATTTGGATTATCTGGAAGGACTGGAATGCCTTGGTTTAGAGGAATCATCGATCTAGGCCACCAGACCTATGCGCTATGATTCTTCAGCATGCACATTATACCCAGCTTGCTATGAACTCTTACTCAGCTACACGGTATTCTCAGCCTCGGTGGGTGCGTTGGAAACCGCCGGATGAAGGTTGGGTCAAGCTGAATACAGATGGGTCTTTCAATAGAGATGGTAATTCTGCTAGTGCAGGGGGATTGATACGAGACAGCTTGGGTGACTGGATTTTTGGTTTCATAGTTAATGTGGGTAGCGCATCCATATTTATAGCTGAGTTGTGGGGACTTCGTGAAGGACTCCGGCTTTGCAAGGCTCTCGGGTTGTCTCGAGTGGTGGCGGAATTGGATTCTCTTATGGCTGTTCGCTTTATTAATGATAATAGAGATCCGGATAATTTATTTGCTGCACTCATATTGGACATTAGGCTTTTGATGCCGAATTTTCAAGCTTGTGTGCTGCAGCATACTCTAAGAGAAGGGAATGCGGCTGCTGACTTTCTAGCTTCAATGGGGCATTCTTCACAACCAGGCTTGCGTGTTATAGACTCACCACCAGATGGTTTGAGATATATCCTTGTAAGGGATCAGCTGGGGGCTAGTTTCCTCCGTCATTAGTTCTCCCTTAGTTTTGTTTTCTTAGTTAAATCACTGATGTACAAAAAAAAAAAAAAAACCTTGATGATCACATCCAGAAGGCGGATCCTGCAGGTCGTTTAAATTTGGAGAAAAGAAAACATGTATTTGTGAGCACAACCAAAAGAAGGGATTGGTTCTAGGATATGTACCTTGGCTGACACAAGCTTGTAGGTCCTTAATTACAATATTTTTATTGAGTATTACAAGTTACTCATTTCCTTTATTTTGTGTTTTTGTTTGACCCTTACCATTGTCATCTTACTCTTTCTTCATAAAAGCAAGAACCTACTGGTTTCTCTTATTTCACCAATTTTATGATAAGTTAGTGGCTCAAAATGGCTTCATGATGGCAAAATGCAACATCATTGCAAAATCACAACCACGTAGAGTTAAGATTATTACTTTTAAGGTTATGCTATACCATTCCTAAACCACAAACATGTAGACTCAGTATTGCTAATTTTAAGGATAGCCTCTATGGCATTCAAGACTTTTGAAGCATGTTCCTTGAACAAGGGTAGAACAAATCTTGCACGGTTTAGGAAAAAAAAAAAAAAAGAATTCTACTGCACATATTCGGACCTCTGTTGGTCTGGAAAACATAATCGGACCAATAGTGGTCCGAATATGTGTAGCAGAATCTAGAAGCTTCTGCTTTGAGACGTTTTCATTCTTTT